CCACGCGCCCCGCGCCCGCCTACGACCCCCGACACCCGCGATTCCCAGCACCCGCCACCCCCGGCAGCCACGGTCCCCAGGACCCACGACGCCCGCAACCGCCTCCCAGCGACCGGGGACTGCGGGGCGGGGCGCGGAGACGCGGCCTGCCTCACCCTCGGGGGGCCTGGACTTGGGGGTCCGCAGAAGCCCCCGAAGCCCCTGCCCGGCTCTAGGACCCGGGGGCTCCAGAAAAGACGCCGAGCGAAGTTTTTCTGGAGTCCGCTCGGCTTCTCATCTTTCCCTCCCCGCCTCCTGGCCCAGCCTCCGCCCCGGGGACGGGGGACCTCGGGGACCCGGGGGCGGGGTTCCTGTGGAGCATTCCTGGACTCAGCCCTCCCGCCCGTCCTGCACCCCGCCCGCCCGGCCAGCTCAGTGTCCCCAGCCCCCCTTCCACGTGGACTGGCCAGGGTGGAGGTGGGGGACAGGAAGGGGGGGAGCCAGCCCCGGGAAGCGGGGGCCGCTGCCTCGGCCTCTGCTCTGCCCGCGTCCGCGCCGGCACCATGCTCCGCGCGGGCCTCCCCGGCCGGTGGCCCCTGCTGCAGGCCCTGCTGGCGCTTCAGGCCGTGGGGAGGGCTCTGGGCCGTGCCAGCCTGGCCGGGGGCCCCCTGGAAGACGTGGTGATCGAGCGGTACCACATCCCCCGGGCCTGTCCCCGCGAGGTGCAGATGGGGGACTTTGTGCGCTACCACTACAATGGCACTTTCGAGGATGGCAAGAAGTTTGACTCCAGGTAAGGGTGGGGCGCCCTGGAGCCCCGCTCCGGGCCGGGCCTTCCCTTATCCGCCCCTCCCCCATTCTGTGGTACTGGAAATTGCACCCCGGGCCTGGGCATTGAGCCCCATCTCTGACTCTTCTGTTGCTAGGGCCCTGTGCTCAGGCTCTAATCAGACTTGCGATCCTCCTGCCTCAGCCTCCCAGAACGCTGGGATCACCAGCGTACACCACCACACCCAGCTTGTTGTTCCTTTTAAATTCTGCATCCCCGTATTCACTCCGCGACCCCCTAACCACAAGCAGCATGGGGGAGGGGCTTCCAGGACCTCAGTCTCCCCAAGGAGACCCCCGCCCTAACTCCAAAGGAGTCCCTTCCCGAAGCGCTAGTCAGCTGAACCGCTCCACCCCTGCTGCCCTTACTCGGAGGCTTGCGGGGTGCACGGGTCCTGCCCGGATCCCGCCCGGCTCCCACGCTGTGCCTTGTGGTCACTGCTGTTTATGGAGGGGAGACAGCAGGGTGGAGTGAGGTGGGCAGAGCTCTGTGGCTGTGCTGCCCGCCGGTGTCCGCACTGTCAGGTGGGCACACAGGCCGCCCTGGAGGCACCTCCTGCCTCCCTCCGTGTCGCCTCCGTCCCCACCCACTCCATTTTAGCTCTCCTGGGCTGGCACCGCCGCCCATCCTGCCAGCCTTGGCCTCCATCTGCCGCTGTGGCCGGCGGGGACCAGGCAGGCTATGCCCGCCTCTGGGTAAATTTTCCCACACGAACCCCTGCGCCACAGCGCCACCCTCCGCCCAAGACCCTGCCAACACCCTCAGCTCTGCCCTGGGAAATGAAGTATTGGCCCTGACTTCAGGGCCGGCAGTGCGGTGCACAAGAACAGCTCAAGTGCGGGGACCTGGGTTCGAATCCGGGCTGCACCGCAGACAGGGCTGAGTGCTCTGGGCTTCAGAGTTGGCTTGCTTAGGCTGGATTAAGATGTCCTGGGGGTTCAGGACAGGGAAGACTTGGCTGGGGACAGCTGTCTGCGCAGATGTCACAGCACTGACATGAACTAGCTGGGAACACAGCTAGGAGCCCTCTACCCTGGGGTGGGGGAGGGGCAGGGTTTGGGACCCTGGGAGCCCCGCTGGGGCCCAACTTGTAAGAGTTGACCTTCAAAAACTTCTTCCTCCCTATCTCTCTCGCTCTTTCTCTTTCTTTCTTTCAAGTCCACTAAGTGCTAAGTTGCCCAGGCTGGGCTTGAATCTGTGATCCTCCTGCCTCAGCCTCCCAGAGTGCTGGGATTATAGGCATGTACTATCACACCTGGCTGAAAATTTTCTTCGCTCCGCCATCCTTTGGGTTTTTTTGTGTTGTTTTGCTTTTGAGTCGTTGTCTCACTCTAGAGCCCAGGCTAGCCTTGAACTTTCCATCCTCCTCCCTCAGCCTCTGAGTGCTGGAAATCACCAGTCATCATACCTGGCCTCTGGTGCCTTGTGACAAAATAAAAGTCAGCGTCCTCCCTTTACTTCTGAAAACTTCAAAGCGTACAACTGAAAACAGGCAAAAGCAGTGGCAGGCTGTGTGTGGTGGCACACACCTGTCATCCCAGCACTCTGGAGGCTGAGGTGGAGGCTGAGGCAGGAGGATCCTTGCAAGTTGGAGAGCAGCCTGGGCTACAAAGTGAGCTCAAGGCCAGCCTGAACTGCATAGTGAGACCCTGTCTCAAAAAGAAACAAAAAAACAAAAACAAACCAGTGGCAGGGCCAGGGATGTAGCTCAGTGGCACAGCGCCTGCCTGGCAAGCACAAGGTCTTGAGTTCAATTCCCAGTACCAAAAAAAAAAAAAAGTGGCAATTTGAAAACACCTTTTCTGTGAACATTGATGCCACCCCCGTGCACCTCTGGCTGGTCTACTTTCTCCTCTTATCTTGGGAGAATTCCTGGGGCAACAGCCAAAATGTGGGCCTCAGAGCTCAAGGACCGCATCGGTGTGTGCGCCGGGAAGGCTGATCTCAGCTCTCTGGTCTCCTGCTGAGCAAAGCCAAACAATAATGCCCGATGTGCGGCTTCACTCAGGTAGCAAACGTGAGCCAGGCGTGCTGGTGTGCGCCTGTGATCCCAGCACTCTGGGTGGTTGAGGCAGGAGGATCTCAAGTTTGAGCCCAGCCTCAAGCAAAAAGGGCGGACGCAGCTCAGTGTAACGGCCCTGGGTCCAGCCCCATTACTGCACATACACAAACAGATCAATAAAACTTAAAGAAGATAGTGTGAGCGCCAGGCACTGAATCTGGCCTACAGCAAGTGCTCCGTAAACGCCCCTCCGCCCACCGTGAGCAGAGGCAGCGCCCACCCGTCACCCACCCCACCTGCACCCAAGCAGAGCCGGGACCACCTGAGGTGTCGCGGGGTGGTGGGGGCTGGGTGGCCACCTGCGCTCCGGGAGACAGTGCGCGCATGTGCAGCGAGAGGGCGGGAGGAGGGGCCCTCACCTGCGCGCACCTGAGCCCTCGCCCTCGCCCACCCCGTCCTCTCCGTCCCCAGCTACGACCGCAACAGCCTGGTGGCCATCGTGGTGGGCGTGGGGCGGCTGATCACGGGCATGGACCGCGGGCTCATGGGCATGTGCGTGAACGAGCGGCGGCGCCTGGTGGTGCCCCCGCACCTGGGCTACGGCAGCATCGGCGTGGGTGAGAGCGCGGGTGGGCTGGGGTCCCGGCGGGCGGGGCGCGGGCGCGGGGAGGGGGCGCACCAGACCTCCGGCCTCCCCCGCAGCGGGGCTCATCCCCCCCGACGCCACCCTGTACTTCGACGTGGTGCTGGTGGACGTGTGGAACCAGGCGGACACGGTCCAGGTGAGCGTCCTGCTGCGGCCGCCGCTCTGCCCGCGGATGGTGCAGGACGGCGACTTCGTGCGCTACCACTACAACGGCACCCTGCTGAACGGCGCGCCCTTCGACAGCAGGTAGGGGCGGAGCAGCTGAGCCGCGGGGGGCCGCACAGGGAGCGTCTCCCCAGCACAGCTCCTCTGTCTCCGCAGCTACAGTCGGGGCGGCACTTACGACACCTATGTGGGCTCGGGCTGGCTCATCAAGGGCATGGACCAGGGGCTGCAGGGCATGTGTCCGGGAGAGAGGAGGAGGGTCACCATCCCCCCGTTCCTGGCCTATGGCGAGAAAGGCTACGGTAAGGGCAGGTGGGGCCCGAGAGACTTCAGAAGAGGGCATTGTTGCTCAGGTTGTGTACCGCAAAAGGGCTTCCGGCCGAGGAGGCAGGCATGCAGGGGTGAAGCCAGCCCTTGGTGACTGCCGCACAAAGAAGGGCTTTACCCCCACTCAGACAGAGGCTGCGTGCCTGGTGGCCGCTGGGGACCCGCTCTGACTCTAGGACTGCGGAGAGCGGGACGCGTCTAAACGGGACGCCCGCCTGGGCCTTCCTGAGCCTGTGTGCTCCCTGCTTGTTTGGCTCAGGCTCTGTCCCCTCCCCAGGGACCGTGATCCCCCCCCAGGCCTCCCTGGTCTTTCACGTCCTGCTGGTGGATGTCCACAACCCCAAGGACACGGCGCAGGTAGACACGCTGGCGGTGCCGGCCGACTGTGTGCGGAAGGCGGCCGCCGGAGACTTCATGCGCTATCACTACAACGGCTCGCTCATGGACGGCACGCCCTTTGACTCCAGGTCCGGGGGACCCGGGGGAGGGGCCGGTCCCTCTGGGCCTCCGGAAGGGGCAGGGCCCCGCTGACCCCCCGCGGCCTCCGCGTTCTGTCGCAGCTACTCCCGAAACCACACGTACAACACCTACATTGGGCAGGGCTACATCATCCCTGGCATGGACCAAGGCCTGCAGGGCGCGTGCATGGGCGAGTACCGCAGGATCACTGTGCCCCCGCACCTGGCCTACGGGGAGAACGGCACCGGTAGGGCGCTGCCCCGTTTCCCTGCTCCCCCAGGGTGCTTCCCACCGCTGAGCCTGACCCTGGGGACAAGCAGGGGTCATTGTGGACAAACAGACCTCGCAGCCCCCGGAGCAGAGAGGCCTAGATTTCTTTCTTTAAAATTGAGACAAGGTCTCACTATATATCCCGGGCTGGTCTCCAATTCCTGTTGATCCTCCTGCCTCAGCTCCCAAGTGCTGAGATTGCAGGCTTGCAGGCCTGGATTTGAGACCCGTCCTGGTCAGCTTTGGGGTTGGCAAGATGCCACCAGCCGCAGGGCACTGGAAATATCCTGTCCTGACTCGGGTCTGCAGGGTGAGGGTAGAAGGGGTCTGCATCCGCTGGAGACAGCTAGCTGACCCCTCCCTGCCTGGCCTCAGGAAACAAGATCCCTGGCTCCGCTGTGCTCGTCTTCCACGTGCTTGTCATTGACTTCCACAACCCCTCGGACCCCGTGGGTATCGAGACCCTGTCCCGGCCCGCGGAGCCCTGCAACGAGACCTCCAAGCTCGGCGACTTCATCCGCTACCACTACAACTGCTCGCTCATGGACGGCACCAGGCTGTTCTCCTCGTGGGTTGGCGTCCCCATTGCCGCTCTGCCCTCCCCCACACTCTCCCTGCCAGTCCCTCCCCAGGGGGCGGCATGAGAGCCCTTCCTCTGCAGGGAAGGGAGGACAGGTGCAGGAGGGGACGGGAGCGGCCCGCCTTGCGGGGAGGTGACAGGAGGCGGGGCCTCTCCAGGGAGCTGGGTGCCGGGAGGATGGCTCTGGAACTGCGGGCGTGTCCTGGGCCGGAACTGACCTGGGCACCTGCCCTCCCCCAGCCACGACTACGGGGCCCCCCAGGAGGCCACACTGGGGGCCAACAAGGTGATCGAGGGGCTGGACAGGGGACTGCAGGGCATGTGTGTGGGGGAGCGGCGGCGGCTGGTGGTGCCCCCGCACCTGGCGCACGGGGAGAGCGGAGGTGAGAGGCGCAGGCCCGGGGCCGCGGGGTTTGGTCCTGTTTGCCCTGGCTGCGGGGGGTGGGAGGGCTTGGCTGGGCTGCGGAGGCCTGATGGGACGCTTACCCGCTCCCAGCCCGCGGGGTGCCTGGCAGCGCCGTACTGCTGTTCGAGGTGGAGCTGGTGTCCCGGGAGGACGGGCTGCCTGACGGCTACTTGTTCGTGTGGCACGAGGATCCTCCCGCCAGCCTGTTCGAAGACATGGACCTCAACAAGGACGGAGAGGTCCCCCTGGACGAGGTGGGTCAGGAGCTCAGCCACCACCAGGCCAGGCAGCTAGTGCGTGGGGGCGCGACAGATCAGTGTCCATCCGGCGCACGGGTGCTTCGCGCGCACAGCCCTGTTCCGCACCCGGCGGTCACTGCCCGGCCAGGGCCACGTGCTCCACCAGGCCACGCCCCACCAACAAGCCACGCCCTCACCCACCAAGCCACGCCCTCCAGCCCCAGACCACGCCTCCGGTCACACCCCCGAGGCCCTCCCCTGCAGTCTACGCGTTGGGCAGGACCCCCACCTCCCGGCCGCACTCCGGGACCCCGCGCCCCTCGGTGGCGCCCCTGGCACTCACCCCGCCTTCCTCCGCAGTTCTCCGTCTTCATCAAGGCTCAGGTGCAGGAGGGCAAGGGCCGCCTGCTGCCCGGGCAGGACCCCGAGAAGACCATCGGGGACATGTTCCGGAACCAGGACCGCGACCAGGACGGCAGGATCACGGCCGCGGAGCTCAAGCTGAAGTCGGAGGAGGACCAGGAGCGCGTCCACGAGGAGCTCTGAGGCCCCCGCTCTCGGAGACAGCGGCAGCGGGACTGTCCTGCCGCAGCGCCCCTCTGCCGGGGGACCCGGAGCCGTGGGAGGCGTCACGGCGGGCACCGGCCCCAGCCCCAGCCCCAAGACGCGGGCTCACAGCCCACGGGGTCGCAGTGTGGGGCTGGCCCTCTTGCGGGTCACCAGGGTCTTGGCAGGACGCGGCCCCATTCGTTACCGTCCCACTGGCTGCCGCGCGCAGCGCCCGGGGCCGGGCTCCCGGGAAGGGGCTGCTGGGCTCACCGGCCCCTCGCTCCACAACCCCTCGACCCGCCGGGGCACGGGTCAGGCTGGGCTCTGCGCCCCTCCCCGACCCCGTGAGAAGGAGCCCAGAAAGGCCCTGTGCGGGCAGACAAGCCTGTGCATGGCCTCGGGGCCAGGAGAGACATCTCCGCTAGCTCTGCACACTCAAGGGCCGAACTGTGTTCACTCCCTGCCCCGTGACAAATAAAAGGTTCAACCACAGGTCTCAGGAGCTGGTCTTTGGGGAGCAGGGGCGGGAGTATGGGGGTGGGGGGGACCAAACCCCGGGCCATGGCACTCAGCCGATCCCCTAGCCCTTTTTTATCTTTTATGTTGGGGCCAGGTCTCACTAAGTTGCCTGCCTCAGCCTCCCGGAGTGCTGGGATGACAGGCATGGGCCACATCCCCAGCCTGGGAAGAGGACTTCTGACCCAAAGATTGGGACAGAAAGAGGAGACAAGCCAGGCTGATGACACCGCCTCCCTCACTCCAGACAGAGCCCAGCCTGAGCCCCAAGCCCAGGCTGCTGACGGCGGTGTCCAAGGAATGGGCCTGCAGGCGAGGGTGGACAGATGGTCCTGTCCCAGCTGATCAGGAAGGACAGTCCGACCCCCACAACTAGAGGCTCGAGGACTAAAGGAGCCAGGCAGCGATTCCCGTCCCTGCGCTGCAACCAGCCGGCTGCTCCTGGCCACCAGCTGTCGCCAGCTCCGGTGCCTCTGTGGAGGACAGGGCCCTGGGCTCAGACCCCATGTCTGGGATCAGGCCACCTGCCCCGATACCTGCCCAAACTCGGCCACTACAGTGGGCAGGACCGGGTCTCCCAAGGATGGGCTGGGACGGTTCCAAGCACCAAGCTGCCTGCCCACCCCATCCCAGCTCGGTGCTGCAGTCTGGTCTGCAGTCCCATCTTGAGGCTGGGGGCAAGGCTCCGTCCCTGGTATGTGGCTACCGAGGGGCTCTGGGGAGGGCTCAGGTCGCTGGGGTCCTTGAGAACTTTTGCACCCAGCTGCTCTGAGGGGAACAGGCTTCCTCAGACACAGGCACCAACCCTAAACTAGGATAAACCTTCCTCCATTTAAATGGATTATTTCACGTCCTTTGTTACAGGGCTAGAGAACACACTTAGGACTTTTTTTTTTTTTGGTCTTTTTGAGACAGGGTCTTGCTATGTAGTTCAGGCTGGCCTTGAGCTCACTTTGTAGCCCAGGCTGGTCTCCAACTTGCAACGATCCTCCTGCCTCAGCCTCCCCAGTGCTGGGATTACAGGTGTGCGCCACCACGCCCAGCCCTTTTTTTTTTTTTTTTTTTTTTTTTTTTTTTGAGACAAGATCTTGCTATGTAGCCCGGGCTGGTCTCAAACTTACAACCCTCCTGCCTCAGCCCCCAGAGTGCTGAGATTAGAGGGGTGTACCACCACAGCAGGCTTGGAAGCGGCGGTGGGTGACAACTGCTGGTCAACTTGTAACCCCCAGCTGAACTGAGCCAGCCTGGTGCTGGGTACGGGAGGCCCCCTGAGGACTGTTGCCAACAAAATAAAAACTGGAGAAGAAGAGGGGTTGTTAGGGGGCTGTTGGTTCTCCTGGAGGAGCTCGTCACGCTGGCTTTCCTGATGAACTTGGCTGTTCTCATCAAACAAGCTCCGGACCTTCGCTGAGAATAGCTTCAGTTCACTTTGGGGGAGCCCTGGTCCTTGCTTTGAGCATCACTTCCTGGCTCCAGTGCAGACCCTTAGCCTGCGAGCACAGATCCTTCATCCTGCTGGCACAGACTTTCTAGCTTCCACCACTGGCCTTGAGACCTTCCCAGCGCGGATCCATGAAACAGGGCTGCATGAAGCATTGTCGTGGGCTCTAGGCCTCCAGTTGGACTTGTGGGGTCACTGTCATGGGCTCTAGGTCTTCAGCTGGACTCATGCAGACATTACTGTGGGATCCAGGCCCTCAGCTGGATTCTTTATTCTTTAGTGTGTGGACAGATTTCCTGCACTTTCTTTGTATGTGACTCTTGGGTGACTGTTACAATTTTTTGTTTGTTTGTTTTTCCCAGTACTGGGAATTGAACTCACAACCTCATGCTTGCCAGGTAGGCGCTGTGCCGCTGAGCTAAATCCCCAGCCCGTTATAAATAATCTTATAAAATGTGTCCTGTATTGTACTGTCCCCCTTGCAGACCCCAAACTACAGCAGGAGCCATGACTGCCGGCAAGGGAAATGACGGTGCTCCGACCCCAGCCTGGGGTGGCCACACACAGGTCTCAAATAGCGACCTTGCCCAAAGCCTAGCAGAACCACCTGGACCGAAGCAGCGCCATGCAATGGCTTCAAGGAGAACCCTGTGGTCAGAAGTGTTCTTGACCAGCTCCAATCCCTGGCACTGGAGCCCAGGGAGGTGCGCCTATGCCACCCATCACAGCCACTTGAGAGGCTGAGGCAGGAGGATCACAAGCTTAAAGCCTCCCTGGGAAACTTAGTGAGACCGTCTCCAAATGAAAGCCAGATGTAGCCCAGGGATACGGTGCGTGCCCAGCAGGCTGGAGGCCCTGGGTTCCATCCCAGCACCGCAGACAACAGGAAAATAAATAATCAAGGGTCTAGGTGCCCATAGCATTTGGTGGCTGGTGTCACCCCATCCTTTCCATCCTGGGGACCCAACTTCCTCCAGCCCGCGGCCTCTGCAGGAAGTGTGAGAGGACCTTCTCTAAGGGGAGCTGGCGCTTCCACAAAAGGTGTCACAGGGCAGAGAGAATCGGGGTCACCAGGCTGAGGAGGGAGGAAGGACAGTGATCCAGGTCAAGGACGTGGGGCGGCCCAGCATGAATCACTTTTTCACCTGCAGGCGCCTTGAGCCCCGGGCCCCTTCTCGGTCACTGGTAAACCATTGGAGGCCCTGACCAGGGCACAGGAAGAAGGCCGTGTCTGGGCGGGGGGGGGAGAAAAGAGTCCACACCCACGCTGGTTGCTGCGGGGGTTCCCAGACTGGGCCACCCCAACCCAACTCCTCCCCAGGGATGCCAGGTTTGACGGTGGCATCGGCAGGACACTGCCCTGTTCTGGGGTGGGCCCCTCCTCTGCATCAGCACACGTTCCTGGGTTCTCAAACTCTGTTCCAAGGAGCCCAGGATGCCTCGGAGGTTCCCGGGCTTCCAGGGTCAGAACAGCATTTTTAAACTTGCATCTGCTTTACCCTTTGTATTTGTCTGAGATACAGCCTTTTTAAAAGAACCCTGGGCGAGGCGCCCACAGGATGCCCGTGTACGGGGTCCAGGCCGCGTGGACGGAGGGGTGGGGGAGCTGGGGCCCGGCGCTCCGCTCCGGGACAGCTGTGTGTACCCTCAGGAGCCCCGCTCGTCCTCGCTGTCCGCCAGGGACAGGACGTGCCGCAGCAGCCCGTTGACCACGTCCAGCGTCTCGTCGTTCTCCAGCACAACGTCGTAGGCGTCCAGGTAGCGCTCGCGCTGCTCCTCCACCTGCGTACGAGGGGCACATTGCCCAGGGTCCCCGCCTGAGCCGAGTCCCAGCGTGCAGGCCCGGGGCAGCAGGAAAACTGACTCAGCTGGCTTCCTAACGCCCGAAGAGCCTGAGGGCATGGGGTCCTACGGGAGAGGGGGGGAACAGCCAGGTGGGCAGGTGCTATGAGTGGCCACAGCAGACCCTTGGTTGGAGCCAAAAGGACAGCAGCCGGGGTCACAAACACCCCTGGTGTCACCGCGTCTCTGCCTGGTACCTGCAGGGTCGTCGGGACCCCCAAGTCTGTGCCAGCGGGGGCACCAGCCACTGTCCTCATCCTCCTCAAGACTACCTGCTGACCCGAACCCGGCTAGGGCTACCTCCTGTACCCCTCACACACTGGGGCAGGCCTGAAGCCTCCACTCTCAGGAAGCCGGGGCGGAGCGCGGCCCCACCTTGTCATTGAGGAAGCCGACCTTGAGGATGTCCTGTACCCTGGGAACCCCGTCCGCCATGCTGAGGTCCCCCAGGGAGTCCCCGAGCAGCAGGATGTTGGTTCTGCCCTGGAGCTGCCGGAAGTAACTGGCGCTGCCGCCCGCGGAGCTGTTCTTGTTGAAGATGTGAATGAGTGGGGCCTTGAACCCCTGCAGGAGCCCCTGGGGACCGAGAGGGCACGGGCAGCGGTGAGGGACCGTGTGGCGCTGCCGTCCGCTGTCCGCCACGGAGGGAAGGGGCCCTAGAAGGCGCAGACCATGCCACGACTTCACAGCAGGCCAAGCCAAGGTTGGCAAACTAGCGCCCAGCGGCCAGACTTGGGCTGTTTCTCTGAATAAAGTTAGTACTACTTTTGCAGAGAGCGCTACTGCTGAGCACATCCACAACCCTTTTTATGTTTTACTCTGAGCCAGGGTCTTGCTTAATTGCCAAAGTGGTCTCGAACTTGGCAATCCTCCTGCTTTAGCTCCCTGAATATCTGGGGCTATAGGCGTGCGCCACTGCACCTGCCTACTCCAGGGCAACACAGCGGAGACAGCCTGCTCTGGGGGCCGGGGACGGTTCAGGCTGCCCACACACCGGTCCCCAGGGGGAGGCCTTAACCACCCACAGGCAGAGATGCCACGGCCACCCACCTGCCCGCCCTCCTGGACAGAGGCAGCTGGAAGGGGGAGCCCTGGCGGGTCCCCACCCCGCCTGCCTGGCCGAGGCAGGGACTCACATCGTCACCGAAGTCCATGTAGTTGGACACGATGTGGACGTTGGGGTGTAGCACCTCCCTCTGCCGGATCACTTCCTCCAGGACGTCCCCCACGCCCGCAGAGAAGATGAACAGCGGGATGTCGTGCTGGTGTAGCGTGTCAAAGAAGGTCTCGTAGCCTTCCCTGCAGGATAAGGGCTCGGACGTCACTGTCAATGCTGCTGTGCTCTCTTCCTCTCTGGTTTTTGTTTTTTTTCTCCGGTACCGGGAACCGAACTCACGACCTTGCACTTGCCAGGCAGGCGCTTTGCCGCTGAGCTAAATCCCCAGCCCCTGGTTTTTGTTTTTTTTGACTTTTGGAGACAGAGTCTCATTCTGCAGTTCAGGCTGGCCTTGAGCTCACTTTGTAGCCTAAGCTGGCCTCAAACTCGCAACAATCCTCCTGCCTTAGCCTCTCGAGTGCTAGGATTACAGGTGTGTGCCACCAGACCCGGCTCTTGTCTCGTTTTTGAGACAGGTCTCACTATGTAGCTCAAATTGACCTGGAACTCCCAGCAACCTTCCTGCCTCAGCCTCCCCAGGCCACGAGCTACCCCAAGGCCACCCTGAGCTACACAGTGAGACCTTGTCACAAAAGAGGCTCCAGCACAGAGCCCTGCTCAGGAAAGGTGGGTAGGCGGGGCATGGTGGCGCACACCTGTAATACCAGCACTGGAGAGGTTGAGGCAAGAGGGTCACTCTGAGTTCAGGGCCAGGCTGGGCTACGAAGTGAGTTCAAGGCCAGCCTGAGCTACAAGGCAAAAAACCCTGTCTCAAAAAACAAAAGAGGGGCTGGGGATTTAGCTCAGCGGCAAAAGCGCCTGCCTGGCATGCGCAAGGTCGTGAGTTCGGTTTCCGGTACCGGAGAAAAACCAAAAAAAAAAAGAAAGGGAAAGGTGGCCAGTGACTATGACCAAGGGTCCTGGCTGCCTGAGAAAACCAGCCAGGCCCAGCATCGTGGTGCACACCTATAATCAGAGCAACTCAGCAGGTTGAGGCAGGAGGGTCGTAAGTTCTAAGCCAGGCTGGGCAACTGTATGACTTACCCAAGCCCTGACTCAAAATAAAAAATAACAGGCTAAGGATGCTGTTCAGTGGCAGTACACTGCTGGACTCCATCCCCAGCCCCGCACACACACACATGTCCTGCCGGTCACCTGGGGGGACCCCAAAAGTCTTTGCTGCTGTGAAAGGTGAGCTGGATCCTGGACGCCCCTGCAGCCCCAGCCCGGCTCTCCCATCTCCGCCTCAGCTCCATTCCTCCCCAGCCTCCCTTGTGTGAACCAAAGCTTTAGGCCGGCTTTTCTTGGCAATGGTGCTAGGATGGCGCCAGCGCTCTGCTGTGCCCCCCCGACCCCCGCCACAATGCTTTTTTATTTATTTCTTGGGCATCATGCTCACTTGGGCATCATTCACCTGAGCATTGCACCCGACTCCCGGACCACCTCAGCGATCTGCAGCCGCGGGATCCTCTGTCCACACAGCAGCTCGTGCGCCCTGGTCCACCTGGATCAGACCCCAGCCCCAAGCTCAGGGACTGAGGAGGCCACCGGGCCTCTCTTACCAGAACCAAGCCCCTCAGAAGGGACCCTAGCCATCCTTAAAGGGAAAAGCATGTCCAGTGTGGTGGTACATACCACAACCCTGGCACATGGGGAGGCTGAGGCAGGAGGGTCTCAAGTTTGAGCCAAGCTTGGGCAAGTTAGTGATACAGTGAGAAGAAAGAAATAGAAAGTAAAAATAACAAAAGGGCTGGGGATGTAGCTCAGTGCAGAGGCCCTGGGAGCAATCTCCAGTCCTGGGGATAAGGAGGTCAGAAAGCAGCGAAGCGGAGAGGAGGGCTGGGAGCTGACAGCAGAAGTCCGTGCCGGGTGACCAGGCTCCGTCCCTGAGAGACGGGCTGGATTCCGACTGGGGCTCCGTGCAAAGGACAAATCCAGGCCTCCCGCTCGCTTTCCGCCCACTGCCCCTGCCTTCCATCCCGCAGGGTGGGCGCCAGCCTTGCCCGCTGCACACCCGCGCTGGGCCGCGCCTGTGCTCCTGCTCCAGCACGGCCGGCCCTGACCTCTGCACCTACCCTGGGAGAGACGGTGAGACAGCAGCGCACATGCAGGACCAGGACCAGGTGCCCTCCCGCACCACCCACGCAGCGGGCACGGCCTGGGGCAGACCCTCAGCAGGGCACGGGCCTCCGGGTCACCGGGCGCCTCCCGGTCACGGCATCCCACCCTGCCCACCCCGCAGCCGCTCACCACTCCACCATGTGCGGCAGCTTCTCCTCCACGGGCCGCTGGGGGTCGGTCTCGATGGGGTAATAGTGGTTAAAGAGCGCGGTGAGCTGCGGCAGCCACACAGAGAAAAGCCGTGAGCCTGAGAGGGAACCACGGCCGGCGTGGCGGTGCCGGCCGGTGATCCCAGCTCCTCAGGAGGCTGAGGCAGGAAGACTGAAACACAGTGAGATCTCACAGCTCAGGGGCACAGGGCTTGCTGAGCACGCTCAAGGGCCTGGGTTCTGTTCCCAGCAAGACAACATAGAAATAAATTTAAAAGTCTGAAAATAAATTAAGATACAAGGGGCTGGCGATGTAGCTCAGCGGTACAGCATCCCTCGGTTCAATTCTCAGGACCGCGAACAACAAAACAAACCTGAACATGAAATTTCAGGCAAGAGCACTAGCTCCTTCAAGCTGTCACCTGGGGACGCACGATCTACAAGTCCCAGACGTCTCCTCCCTAGCCCTTTCCAAATGATCACCTTCGCCTATCTGTAAGTCTGGGTGGGCCCGGACCCTCGGCCCTCAGCCCTTGCCCCAACCGTGGGGTCCAGGAGTCGGCGATGTAAGTGGCCTCCCCTGCCCATCACAGGGGCCAGGATTTCCTGTCATCATGAGCTCGGCTGTCAGGCTGCAGGCAGCGAGATCTCACTGACTGCCATGTGTCCCACACGTGTCCACCTTCCCCAGGCACAAGGGAGACAGTGTGAAGGCTGTACGAACAGACACTTGCCTTTCTTTGAGGATCTCTGGATTCATGTTAGTAATATATGCTAGCAAAAGAAGCCACAAAAAAAAAAAAGAAAAAGGAGCCAGGTGTGGTGGCACACACTTGTCATCCCAGCACTCAGGAAGCTGAAGCAGGGGGATCACTGAGAGTTCCAGACCCGCTGGGCTATAGAGTGAGTTCAAGGCCAGCCTGCACTACACTGCAAGACCTGCCTCAAAAAAAAGAGCGCATCAAACTTGTGCTTTTTTCTTTTTCTTTTTCCAGTACTGAGGATTAAACCCCGTCCCCCCAAAAAAGACATCCAGCCAAGCGAATGGTGCGTACCTGTAATCCCAGCACTCTGGGAGGCTGAGGCAGGAGGCTCTCAAGTTTGAGCCTACCCTGGGGAATTTAGCAACCCAGCAAGACCCTATACAAAATAAACAAAAAAGGGCTGGGAATGTAGCTCAGTGCAAAGGCCCTAAGCTCAATTCCTGGGTCTGGGGGGAAAAAGAAGGAATCCAACAGGGAAAGACTACACGGATCTGATGATGCCGACTTTAAACAGCATCAGCTGTCTCAAGTCTCCGTCCGGGTCTTCTCTGGATCTAATAATTTCTTTTTCTTTTTTTTTCTTTTTGGTGTTGTCAGGACCTTGCACTTGCCAGGCGGGCACTCATGCCACTGTGCTCTCTCCCAGCCCCATGTTCTCTGGATCTAAACCAGGACCCTCTGAGCAGCAGGGGCAGCAGGCTGCCAGCAGAGGGGGGACCCACCTGTCTGCGACACTCCTCGCTGACCACCTTGCTGTTATCCAGAATATCTGGAAAAACAAAACTCGGCTGACTTGTCCCTCAGAGGTCACCTGTGCCGCCAGGCTTGGGGTGGGGGAGACTCACTGTAGGAAGAGGGGCAGCGCTTCCCAGAGTGTGAGAATCTGCTCAGGGTCATGTCGAAGTCAGACACGACCTGTGGTGGGGAGAGAGCGGTGCCGCGGGGGCCTGGGGGGCACGGCCCGGGGGGGGGACACGGCCCGGGGGGGGAGCACGGCCGGGGGTCTGCAACACAGCCCTTGGGAGTGAGGGGTCAGAGGAGCGCAGGGCAGGAGGGGACCCAGGGGACCCGTGTCCTGGGGTGGGTGGGTGACCGATGAGACCCCGAGGTCGCAGTGCTGGGGTTCGCGCCCGCTTTGGGGCCGAGTCGGGCAAAGCCCCCACCCCGGTACCTGCAGGCAGCCGCCCCCGGCCCTGCGCAGCGCGC